GCCAGGTTACAGAAAAGGGCTTTAGAAACATCATCCAGACTTTCAAGGGTGGGGTTAGGAAAGCCAAGTGCAGTTGGAACTGGAAGGGGTGTCAAGAACAAGATAAAGAGCTTCATCCTCTGTGTGAGCAATAGAAGGCAAAACCAGGATCTGTGTGCTCACTGCTCAGTGGGGAGAGTGATTTTGTGGCAGTGGACACAGAGAMGACCAATGTCCCTAACACCTTCTTTGCCTTTGTCTTCACCACCAAGTTCTTACATCTSTTAGTGCTTTGTAGAGCCCTGGGCAATCCAGTACAGGAAGGACATAAAGCAACTGTAGAACTTCAGCAGACACACATGACCTGTGTGGGATGGCTGAGGAATCAGGTCTCGTTCAGCCTGGAGAAGGGATGRTTTGAGGGGAGACCCAGCATCAGCCCGCCAGGACCTGGTGAGGGGTTGTCAAGAAGGCAGAGCCATCCACTTCCCCATRGGGTTTTAGGGGAGAATGAGGGACAGTGGGTGTAAGCTGTAACAGGAGATAAAGTGGGATAGAAGGAAATAGTTCTGCACTCTGGGAACAGTCCAGAGCTGGAGCTGGTTGCCCATAGAGGCTGTGCAATTTCCATCCTTGAAGATTTTTAAGACCTGATAGCTTAAAACCCTGAGCAACCTGGCCTGACCTCAGAGCTGACTCTGCAGCTTGGACTAGATGTCCTCCCGTGGGTCCTTCCAACTTGAATTGTTGTCTCTGATTCATTCCATGAATATTTTAAAACTACCTTGAACTTCCAGCTAAATTTGTTTCGGATCTATTTATGTCTTGAGCTCTTCTGCCATCTTAGGCTTGTCCTTTGCCTAAAATAAATTTATTCTGCAATGTATTAACTGAGAACAATAACATTCACTCTCATCTTTTGTTAAGCAGAACAAGCCAGGCTCTTCTAATTCTGTGCACACCCCTCCTCCCCTCCCTGTAGTGACTGGAATAGAGTCCCTGCTTCTTTCTAATCCTAATATCCTCTCTATGCACYTGTTCCCATTTTAATTCATCTTCTGGTATGTAGGTGATTACAGCACTGCAACTACTGCACAAATCCAAATACAAGGTCAACAAAGAAATGTTCATATCCTGYACTAGGCACTCTTACTACTAAAAACATTTTGCGGAGCAACACAATTTCATTATTTTTTAAAAAGTGCATTCTGCCCATACTAATTCTGTTGCTGTTTATAATTTCCAGATCTTGCTTTCTACATATGGAAATTCAGAAATGCAATCATATGCAACATTGTTGTGCCATAGAATTAATCTTAAGTTATCATACCATTAAAAAAGCTTTTGAGATACTTGCCATAAACATTTCTTTTCCTAGAAATTATCTTTTCTCTTAGCTGGAACATTTTTTTCACTCAGAAGTTGTTAAGTGTTTTAGGCCCAGGTGTCTTTCAAATATTTGTAGACAGAAATCTTATCCTCTCTTAAATTCCATTTATTGATTTTTTTCTGGTGAGTATTTTTCCCCCCAGCATCTTCCTTCTTTGGATGTGAATGAAAAAGATTTCTTTACAATAAAAGGTTTTCACATAGTTCTTAATTTTGTTTTTAAGATCCTGTTAAAGACCACTTAAATATTCTTTTAATTGCAGAGATCACAAATACCTAAAAGGTGTGAAACATAAGTATATTGATCACCGTGTACTTTATAATGCTGGTATTGTAAGTGCTTTTTGAGATACTATTTCAATTTGGTCAAGTGGAGCTGAGGTCCTTCTGAGAAAGCAGCCTTCATTTAAGTAGTAATTAAGAACAAGTATTTCCCAGTGATACAGCATGTTTTCCAAGTCATAGTTTATGTGTTATTTCTCCCCAAATTCCTCCTTTGTGAAATCATTTAAAGATAACCTGGAAGTGAATTCTTGTAGTTTTTCYAGGAGATTGCCTTTTGTACGCTGGTAATTTGCCATGCAAGAGATAAGCTGGCTATTTTGAGAGAGCATTCTGTGGCTTATGTCCTGCTTTTCACATGAATTGTTTAAAGAGCAGTAAGGCATCCGCAGATTTAGGAAGTGTAACTTTGAGCCTATGAGACTGAATGCTGGGCCCTGTGTAGAGTTCATTGGATACATGTTTATGAATATAAAGGAGCTTTTAAGAACCAACGCTTAAATTATTTCTATCWCCCTTCTAAGTGTAGTTACAGAGGYCTCCTGTGTCTGGTCTTGGCACGTAAGCCTCTTACAAAAGGAAGGCATGCACTGATTGCAGCACCATCCTGTTGATTTGTGAGGAGGAATTTTCCAGCCTCAGCACTCGCTCTCCTACAAAAAATATAATTTTTCAGCAACTGAATAAAACTGTTTTGAAACAGAAAAATATTTTCTTGTGTACTGGGTACAGGTGCCCAGGAGGGCAGGTGGGCATGGGAGCTGCAGAGGTGACCTCTGTCAGGAGAGGCTTGGAGTGCCCTGTGCCAAGCACAGTCAGTCCCAAGCAGAGATTGCCCTGTGACCCTGGAGAGGTCCTGGTGGAGCAGGTATTTACCTGKAGACACTGGAGACACCATGGTGGAGCAGACATCCACATTGCAGSCCCTGGCAGACATGTCCTGAAGGAACTGTAGCCCATGGAGAGCCCATGCTGGAGCAGGTTTATACTGGAAGGCTGAAACTCATGGAGAGACCCAAGACTGGAGCAGAGAAGCGCGGTGAGGATAAAGGAGCAACAGACAGGAGCTATTATAGACTGACTGCAGACCCCCATTCCTCATCCCTCTGCACTGCCCTGTGGAGAGAAGGTAGAAGAGTTGGGAGTGAAGGGTTGAAGATGAGCCTGAGAAGAGAAGGGGTGGGTAGAAGGAAGGTGGTTTATGTTTTATTTTCATTTCTGGACACCCAACTTGATTTTAATTGGGAATAAATTAAAATAATTTTCCCTGTGCTGTCTCTTCTTTTGCTTGAGCCAGTAGCTGGTAAGTGATGCCCCTGTCTTTGTCTTGACCCACAAGATTTTTCATTTTATTTTCCCCTTTTTTGTTGAGGAGGGTGAGAGGGAAGCTGGGTGGGGATCTGACAGCCAGACAAGGTSAACCCAACACTCCATCCTTGACCCAGTTCTCTTCAACATCTTCATTAATGACRTGGACACAGGACTSARAGGAACACTAAGTGTTTTTTGGTGACACTAAATTGAGAGGAGCTGTTCACCCCCTCGAGGGCTGAGAGACTGGCAGAGAGACATCAACAAATAAGAGAGATGGGCAATCATCAGTCATATGAAGCTCAACAAGATCAAGTGCTGGATTCTGCACTTTCAATGGGGCAACACTGGATGTGCATATAGAAGGGGGAATGAGATGCTGGAAAGCAGCGCTGTGGAAAGGGACCTGGGGGTCCTGGTCAGTGGCAAGTTGAATCTGAGCCAGCAGTGCCCTGGCAGCCAGGAGGGACAACCCTGTCCTGGGGGCATCAGGCACAGCATCGCCAGCCGGGCAAGGGAGGGGATTGTCCCGCTCTGCTCTGGGCTGGGGCGGCCTCACCTTGAGGGCTGGGGGCAGTTTTGGGTATCACAATGTAAAAAAGACATTAAGCTCTTAAGAAGCCTTCTCAAAGGAAAGCCACAAGGATGGTGAAAAATCTGGAGGGAAACCTGTATGAAGAGCAACTGAGTTCATTTGGTCTGTTCAGCCTGGAGAAGAGAGTGAGGGGAGACCTCAGTGTTGTCTTCAGCATCCTCATGAGGGGAAGCASAGATSGTTTTATTATTCTGAGCAGGGCTTACACAGAGCCAAGGCCTTTTCTGCTTTTCATWCTGCCCTGCTGGTGAGAAAGCTGAGGGTTGTTGGGAATTTGGGAGGCAATTCAGCTGGAACAGGTGACCCAAATTGACCAAAGGGATATTCCAGACCATGTGACATCATGTGCCGTGTATAAAGGTGGGAGAAGAAGGATGAAAGGGAGGGATGTTTGAGTGAAAGCTTTTGTCGTTCCAAGTAACCACTATGTGTGATGAGGCCCAGCTCTTCTGGAGATGGCTGCGCATCTGCCATCTATGGGAAGGGATTAATTCCATTTTAATTTGCTTGTGTGTGTGACTTTTGCTTTCCCTATTATACTATCTTTATCTCAACCCATGAGTTTTCTGGCTTTTACCCTTCTGATTCTGTCCCATGTCCCACTGGTGGGGACTGAGCAAACGGCTGCCTAGACCATGACAGGCAGGTACCAACCTCTTCACTCTCATGACCAGTAACAGGGAAATGGCCTCAAGCTGAGTCAGGGGAGGTTTAGACTGAGTATYGGGAAAAGATTTTTCACCAGACATGAATTGAGCACTGGAACAGGCTCCCCAGAGAAGTGCTCACAGCACCTGACAGAGTTCAAGAAGTGTTTGGACAATGCTCTCARGTACAGGGTGTGACTCTTGGGATGTCCTKTGTAGGGCCAGGAGYTGGCCTCGATGATCCTGATGAGTCCCTTCCTACTCAACATATTCTATGATTCTACAAAACTGTTTCAAGTAAGCTAGTGCTCTCAAAGTCATTTCAGCCGTATTTTTCTATCTCAGTCTTCAACAGGCTTATTATTAACTTGAAAACAATTTCCATTTCCATTTGATTAAATTCTATTAGAATTTTTGCCATGAAACTGAAACAAGAGAAGCAATTGATTCACAGAATTGATTATCTGTCATGATATTGGCTCATTTATAATATAATGATTTGTTCCTTGGCAAAATTAAGGTTCTGCATTACTTATACTTCAGTTTCTATAAGGATTTATTATTATTCCAG